ATACATCCAGAAACAGTGTTCCCCTATATTTGGAACACCCTTTCTAGACTTAATTGTAAATGCTGTCTCTACATTTCCTGTACATTGTGTTGCTATGGAGAGTATTTCCCTGCACTTGGGAAGACACAAGATTTTTTTTCTGTAAATAGTAAAAAAAAAAATAACCTAAAAAAACCTTCTAGACCACACAGACACCTTTTTTTTAATGCCAAAATCTTTTATAATGCTATTGTTTTGCAAAAATAACCAATTCACTGATGAATTCTTGCCACAACAAATGGTGAACTCCAGCTGCTGAAAAATTACTTAAGTCTTTTTTCCCTCCATGCTAAAAGAAAACCAAGAGGAATCCTTTCAACATTAAGGGAACTGAGGCCAGATAGGAAATGTACTAGCATTTGTGGCCTAACTAGGAACAGAAAATATCAAAAGTAATGAGCACGTATTCCTTGAAAGAAAGAGAGAAACAGATTCTTCTGCAAACATTTGTCCATGTGATAAGCAAAAGTATTCAGCAGAAAACATTTCCTGTTCTGGGAAACCACAAATATTTGTATGGCCGGAGGGCATCATTGCATTTAGTGAAAAGTTGCAAATTATTTGAATGCATGAAGCAGTAGACTATTCCTACTAGTTATTATCCAATGAATGCCCTCAAAGCATGCTAAATTTAACACAATTAAAGCCAAGGTCCCTGCCCCAAATAATTAAGTGTGCAGCAACTCTCCAAAAAGGGCCACATTTTTGGAGTTTAATGTACCCACTCTACACACACTCACATCAGATATCAATTTTAAAACTTATTTTATGTGTGTATGATGTGGAGCTGTCAGGTCGTGCCATAAGCCTGCAGGTGAGGTGACAGAATGGTACCCAAAATGAGAAAATCTTTTGCACAGTTCCAGAAACACTGCAACAGAACTATGACTAGAATTTCTACCATTTAAGGTAATTTCAATGTCTTAATGTGGTGTTTATAGGTCAAAGCTACCAAAGGACAATGTATTACAATTTTTTTATTGGTTTCAAATGGGCAAGTTTCCCTCCCCCCAGAAATGATGAAGCCATTTAGCATGTGGCAAAAATGGCAAATATCAACATTTTGTAATACACTGACTTGTGAGAGGTGCACTTGATTCTGATGGGACACGTAGCTTCCTCAACCCAATCAAGAAATCTGACATCAAAACATTTGCTGACATGCCCAAGAAGACCAAATTTACGTCTGGCAAGGGAGGGACAATCACAGCACCTATCAGTCCAGAAACTGTTTTCCATGGAGCCCTGTCTTTAGCAAGATGCAGAGATGGTGTTTCAATGGCAACTGTTCTTAGTCATCCAATAGGACCTGTGCCTATGTCCATCTTCCACGCCGATGGAACAATGAGAAGAACAGAGAGGACATCAGCTGGAAGTTCAATGTGAAAGAATCCATAAGCTAATAGCATTCAACAAAGAAACCATCATGTACATCAGAGATGTCCTGGCTGTCATACAAATGATGGCTGCAGATAAATTCCACATGTACTATAAATTGGCTGCTGAGTATTTGAGGCAGGTCCTTAATGGATTTAACAAAGCTATTTCTGTAACTGAAGTCTTTGACAGATATGACAACAGTAACTCTGTGAAACTGTAGAAATACAGTGCCAGTCAGGATCTAAGGTTGGATGCAAGAAATGCCAGGTGATTGGTGGATGCTCTGTGCCTCCATGGAAAAAGTTTCTGAACATGGCATCCAGCAAGCAGCCGCTTGTCAAATTTCACTGTGAGGAGATGGTTCAAAATGCACCTGAGAGTGTAGAAGCCCACTCTACACAAACGTCCTTCTTGGTGGAGGCTTTTCCAATGAAGAAGTAGCAAAGTCCATCACCAGCAGAGGTGTTATAGAAGCCCAAGACTTGTACAGTACTCAAGAGGAGGTGGACACAAGGATGCTTCTGCATGCTGTACGCACCAATACGGCTCTTGGGGTTCTTGGGGGGGGGGAGGAGGGGGTCAAAGGAAAAAGGAACCTTAGTAATTAGATCAACTGATATAGATGTTTTGGTCCTTGCTGTTCACTACTTTGGAGAAATGGAACACATAGATAAGGGTGTCTAGTTCCATCCACATGTTATCAGCACAACTGATAAGTGTCACTTCATACCTGTACATACAATTTTTGATAGATTCATTCCTGACTCTGCAACATATTTCCTGCTGGTCACGAATTAAAAGGTTGTGACTTTGTGTCATTCCTATTTGGTATTGGGAAATGCCGCAACAAACAGAGCTTATCGTTTCAGAGATCTTGCCAAATGAGAGCATGATAGGCAAGCTACAATTTCTGGTAGCAATTAAGGTGGTAGCAGTGCTGAATGACCAGTGCAAGAAAAAAAACAGAAACCTAAACTGCTTGTGCCTCAATCTAACCATCAAAAAAGGACAAGTCACTGGCCAAACTCTCACCATGCGAGGATAGTTTTGACAAGCATGTCAAAAAAGCATCTTGACAAACAAAGATTCGGATGTCTTTGCACATGGGTAAATGAGATATTGGTTAACCTTTACACGGATGGAAAAATGTGGATAATGAAGTATTTTCCATATTCTTCAAGGGCCCAGTGGCATTTGGGCTTCTACAAGACCTTATTTGTGACTGTACCAGAAGAAGTCACTGCACAATGAACTGTGTCTGTTTTCAGAACAATCTTCCTTGCACAGAATGCAATGAAGATAGTGGTAACCCACACACTGTTGACAGTTGACAGAGATCATAGTGATGAACCACATGACGC